ATCTGTAAGTAATAACATGTTGTCTACATGCCACTAGTGAATCTGTAAGTAATAACATGTTGTCTACATGCCACTTGTGAATCTGTAAGTAATAACATGTTGTCTACATGCCACTAGTGAATCTGTAAGTAATAACATGTTGTCTACATGCCACTTGTGAATCTGTAAGTAATAACATGTTGTCTACATGCCACTAGTGAATCTGTAAGTAATAACATGTTGTCTACATGCCACTAGTGAATCTGTAAGTAATAACATGTTGTAAATACATGCCACTAGTGAATCTGTAAAGTAATAACATGTTGTCTACATGCCACTAGTGAATCTGTAAGTAATAACATGTTGTCTACATGCCACTAGTGAATCTGTAAGTAATAACATGTTGTCTACATGCCACTAGTGAATCTGTAAGTAATAACATGTTGTCTACATGCCACTAGTGAATCTGTAAGTAATAACATGTTGTCTACATGCCACTAGTGAATCTGTAAGTAATAACATGTTGTCTACATGCCACTAGTGAATCTGTAAGTAATAACATGTTGTCTACATGCCACTAGTGAATCTGTAAGTAATAAGATGTTGTCTACATGCTACTAGTGAATCTGTAAGTAATAACATGTTGTCTACATGCCACTAGTGAATCTGTAAGTAATAACATGTTGTCTACATGCCACTAGTGAATCTGTAAGTAATAACATGTTGTCTACATGCCACTAGTGAATCTGTAAGTAATAACATGTTGTCTACATGCCACTAGTGAATCTGTAAGTAATAACATGTTGTCTACATGCCACCACTAGTGAATCTGTAAGTAATAATCTGTAAGTAATAACTGTTGTCTACATGCCACTAGTGAATCTGTAAGTAATAACATGTTGTCTACATGCCACTAGTGAATCTGTAAGTAATAACATGTTGTCTACATGCCACTAGTGAATCTGTAAGTAATAACATGTTGTCTACATGCCACTAGTGAATCTGTAAGTAATAAACATGTTGTCTACATGCCACTAGTGAATCTGTAAGTAATAACATGTTGTCTACATGCCACTAGTGAATCTGTAAGTAATAACATGTTGTCTACATGCCACTAGTGAATCTGTATGTAATAACATGTTGTCTACATGCCACTAGTGAATC